ATTTCTAGTGAAAGGATGTAGAAAGAAAAGTATTTAGTGCCTGTATTAGTCCACTTTCACACTGCTATAAATAAACACTAAAGACTGGGTAATTTATAAAGCAGAGAGTTTTAATTGACTCACAGTTCACAAAGCTAGGGAGGCCTCAGGAAATTTACAATCATGGTGTAAGGGGAAACAAACATGTCGTTTTTTAGATATCTGCAGGAAAGAGAATTGCAGAGCAAAGGGGAAAGAACCCCTTATAAAATCACCAGATCTCATAACAATTCATTATCATGGAAGGAACATTGGGGACTATCCTCTGTAATCCAATTACTTTCCATGAGTCACTTCTCCCAAAATGAGGATTACAATTCAGGTAATAATTCAAGATGAGATTTGGGTGGGGACACAGAGCCAGACTATATTACTCCACTCCTGACCCCTTGCAAGTCTTGTCTTTCTCACGTTTCAAAACCCAATTGTGCCTTCCTTACAGTCCTTCAAAATCTTAATTCTTCCCAGAATTAACTCAAAAGTCCAAGTCCAAATTCTCATCTGAGACAAGGCAAATCACTTCCGCTTAGAATCAAAAGCAAGTTAGTTACTTCGTAGATACAATGGGGGTACAGGCATTGGGTAAATGCTCCCTGAAATGGGAACACTTTTGAATAAGAATTAATCTTAGAATTCTCCTCCAATGGGAGAAATTGACCAAAACAAAGGAGCTACAGGCCCCATGCAAATCCGAAATTGAGTGGAACAGTCATTAAATCTTAAAGCTCCAAAATAATCTTTGACTTATTGTTTTATATCCAGGGCATGCTGATGCAAAGGGTAGGTTCCCATGGCTTTGAGTAGCTCCACCCCTGTGGCTTTTTAGGGTACACACCTCTGCTCTGGCTAGTTTCACAGCTGGCATTGAGTGTCTTCAGCTTTCTCAGATGCACAGTGCAAGCTGTTGGTAGACCTACCATTCTGGGTTTTGGAGGATGGTGACTCTCTTCTCACAGCTCCACTAGGCAGTGCCCCCAGTGGGGAATCTATGTGGGGGCTCCAAGCCCACATTTCCATTCTGCACTGCCCTAGCCAAGATTCTCCATGAGGGCTTCACCCCTGCAGCAAACTTCTGCCATGCAAAACACCTAAACTTTCAGGTGTTCCTATACATCCTCTGAAATCTAGGTGGAAGTTCCCAAACCTCAACTCTTCGCTTCCGTGCAGCTGCAAGCCCAAGACCATTTAGAAGTCACTTGGTACTTCCAAGCACTTGGTGCAAGGCTTGGTGCTTTCCACCTCTGAAGCAACAACCTGAGCTGTACTATGGCCTCTTTTACCCATGGATGTGACATAGGGCACCAAGTACCAAGATGGCACAAAGCAGCAAGACACTGGGCCTGGCCCAGGAAACCATTTTTTCTTCCTAATACTCTGGTCCTTTGATGAAAAGGGCTGCCATGGAGGTCTCTGACATGCCCTGGAGACATTTTCTCCATTGTCTTGGTGAATCAGCTCCTTGTTACTTGTGCAAATTTCTGCAGCAGTCTTGAATTTCTCTACAGAAAATGTGTTTTTGTTTTCTATCACATTGTCAGACTGCAAATTTTCCAAACTATTATATTCTGCTTTACTTTTAAACATAAATTCCAATTTCAGACCAATTCTCTCAAGTTCAAAGTTCCACAGATCTCTAGTACATGGACAAAATGGCACCAGTCTTTTTGCTAAAATATAATAACAGTGACCTTTTCTCCAGTTCCCCAAACTTTCTCATGTCTATCTGAAACCACCACAACCTAGACTTCATTGTCCGCATCATTATCCATTATCAGTATTTGGGTTAAAATAATTGAAAAATTGTTTTGGAAGTTCCAAATTTTCCCACATCTTCCTATCTTCTTCTGAACCCTCCAAACTATTCCTTCTTCTTGCTATCTAGTTTCTAATGTTACTTCCACATTTTCAGGTATTTTTATAGCAGTATCCCACTCTACTTGTAAAAATTTACTGTGTTAGTTCATTTTCACACTGCTATTAAGAAGTACCCAAGAATGGGTAATTTATAAAGCAAAGAAGTTTAATTGACTCCCAGTTCCATATGGCAGCGGGGGCCTCAGGAAACTTACAGTCATGGCAAAAGGGGAAGCAAGCATGTCCTTCTTCACAAGGCAACAGGAGAGAGAAGTGCAGAGTGAAGGGGGAAGAGCCCCTTATAAAACCATCAGATCCTATGATAACTCACTATCAAGAGAACAGTGTGGTGGAACAGCCCTAATGATCTAGTCACCTCCCATGAGGTGCTTTTCCCAAAATGGTGATTACAAATCAGATTATAATTCAAGATGGGATTAAGGTGGGGGCACAGAGCCAGACTGTATCGGTGCCTAAGTGAGTAGTGGTGAAAGTCAGGGCTCTGATGATCAGAATTCACATAATGGAATGTTCCATGAAAGCAGAAGGGTCTTTGAGCACTGTTCAGTCATAAAATGGAAAATGTCTACTACCTGTTTGTATTGTATTGGTCTCAATCAGTGGTTTATTTTCTTATTGTTTGAATTTCAATTCTTTCTAACCTATGCAGAGACAGATTTCTTGCAGTAAAGCAGAAGAATTTTATATTTGAAGTTTAGGTTTCACCCTCTTATTATCTAGTAAATAAAAGTATCTCCATAGCACTGTAGTGATGTTTATGTTTATTCTTTTATTGCATAGCACAGTATATAACTCTTTTCATAATTGTCATAATAGAGATCCATAACCATATAAAGCATATATAGATCAAAATGCATTTGTGTATTTTGGAATGACACACAATCAGCATTGTAAAGAAAATACTCATTTTACATATCTGTAATGCATTACAAAAGCCACTTTCTTCACCTACTCATAAATTATGCATCAACAACTTAGCATAAAGGGCAAAGATGTTAATTTTATTTGAAAATCACACCAAATGGTGTGAAAGTATTAAAATAACAACACCTTCTATATCTTCAACAACTTGGCTTCTAAGAAGAAAAAGTAGATAAAGTTTCTTTTTTTTTTTTTTTGGAAATTCATGATTTGAAAATTAAGAATCTCTTGGGAAATAAAAAGTTTAATATAAATTTATTCAGATAATTTATTACACATGCTGGAAAGAACATTAAATACAGTTATTCCAGTCAAAAATTCTAATAAATGAGGACAGACTGAAAGAAATAAGATGGTTCACATACATTCATATAGTAAGTAAACTTTCAAAAAAGAAAACCTGTCTTTTCTGACTCTCCAGTGCTTTTATCATGTTGGAGCTAGAACAGTACTGCTCTGTCTCATGTTTTAGGAGAGTTTCAAAATTGTTTCGATTTAAACCAGAGGGAAGGATACCTTTGCATTTAAAAATGTTTAAAAACTTAAGTTTTATATTTGTCTAATGATAAAAATGAAATTCCAATTCTTCTAATCTAATACAATTCTTGCACAATGATGAAGTAAGCACTATTATTAACCCTCATTTATGGAGAGAAATACTTAGTGATAAATGCCCTGCTCTTGAGTTTCATGTTAATTTTTTCCTTCATGACCAAATCTGTATAGCACCTTTCCTCAACTGTGTAAGAGAATCATGCTGTAACTGATTATTTGTATTCAGTATTATAAATCAATTATAGTGTCATGTCAACTTGTTATTTATTCAGATCTACATTTCAGTTTGTGCTGATTTACAGAGAAGAATTTCATGCAATGAGACAGTGATTCATTTGATTATGTTTTACTAAGTGAAATAGCCATATTATTGAATCAATGTAATCTTCCTAAACACATATACTGTACAGACACACATATATAATAGTAAAGCAAAACTTGATGCAAAATTTTATCTGCTTTAAATAAACTTATAAGTTCAGACATTTATTTTATTTTATTTTTTTGAGACAGAGTTTTTTTTTTTTTTTTTTGCCCAGGCTGGAGTACAGTGGCATGATCTCAGCTCACTGGAATCTCTGCCTCCTGGGTTCAAAGGGTTCTTCTCCCTCAACCTCCTAAGTAACTGGGATTACAGGTGTGTACCACCATGCCCATCTAGTTTTGTATTTTCAGTAGAGATGGGGTTAAACCATGTTGGCTAAGCTGGTCTCAAACTTCTGACCTCAAGTGATCCACCCTCCTCGACCTTCTAAAGTGCTTGGATTACAGGCATGAGCTACCGCACCCAGCCCAAATTTCAGTCATTCTTTTCTCTCCCAAATCCTGTCATTAATTTTTCAGAAATGTTTTTCATATTTTACTTTGTTGCCCACTCATAGTATAACCTATACTCATGTAGTCAATGTTTTATTATTTTAAAAATCAAAGTATTTTTTCTATTTGCCACTATTTTTTAATATTTTCTTTAGATGTTGCTAGAATTATGTGTACTAAAAATCAAGCCTAGTAATGTAATTCCCAAGCCTGAAAATCTGCTTTGTCTGTGTGTGAAGTCCATACTCTCGGTAGATATGCAGGGCCTATCAAAATTAACACAATCTATGATTCAGCCAATTAGCATTCTCATTCATACTCAACCCTGCCAATCTGTTACCCAAACCTGGAGTAATTTTAAGTTGCATTCATTTTTTTCAGCCTCCTTTTTCCTTACTCTTATATTCTTCTATTTTACTTACTGAGTACTTTACGTACCTATGTGATTGCTGTTATAGTCTGTGACAATTTTTCAGCCTTTGGGATATTTTGTTCACATTTGATAAGTCTCATACAGTAGGTAATTAATGTGTAGTATATATTACAAATGTGTATGATGTCTAACAAAAACAATACTTAAACATATATTTGTAATTGAGTATTATGGTATAAACAGGAAGTTTCATATAAAAATGCATGTAAACGTGAGTGTTTAGGTTTGTGTATGTGTCTTAAAGAATTTGCATATGTTCTTTGCCTATCAGTATCACGTTGCAAAATAATATAATTTGTATTCAGAACAAATAGTTAAAAAACCATGTCTTGTAACATATATAATTTTCTCTTTCCATTAGGTTGAAAATGGTTGCTTGTGTTCAACTACTGTGAAGAGTTGGAATCAGACAACTACAGCTGTGATTTTCCAAGTGGTTAAGAATGTAAATATGATCTGATCTTTCCCTGATGGACAGTTAAATCATGGACACTCTAAACAATTTACTTCGGACTGTCCTTCCTAAAGATGCTTTGGCTTCTCTCTTGAATGCTCACTAAGCATTTGTAGCTGACAAGGAAAAGAAGGAAAACTGTGAATTGGAAAGTTATCTTACAATGAAAATTACGAGCACATCTTGCATCTGTCCAGTCCTAGTGTGTCTCTGTTTTGTGCAGAGGTGTTATGGAACTGCTCACCACAGCTCCATCAAGGTGACGAGAAACCAAACCAAACACATTGAAGGTGAAACCGAAGTCCACCATCGTCCCAAAAGGGGATGGGTATGGAATCAGTTCTTTGTTTTAGAAGAACATATGGGACCAGATCCTCAGTATGTTGGAAAAGTAAGTTTTTGGTTGTTTTGTTGTTTTTCCTATCCTGAGAAACTGTGGGGTAATATGAGCTGATGTTGAAGAAATATATGAAGACATATATATATATATATATATATATATATACACACACACACACAGATAGAACTAGACTTACGACCACGATTGGGACCGGCAGACCGGTTGTAACACGATTTGGTCATAAGTTGAGTAGGCTATAGGTACAGTTGAAAAGGTGCATGCAGAAATGGTAGTGCTGCCGGAAGCTGGTCCACACTGTTGTACGCCCAGCTGGGCAACGTTTGTGCTGCCAGATGCGGAGCAGTCGTGGCTAGCAATTGTGGTGGTAAAGTTGAATGGTCGTAAGTTGCATAGGTTGTAAGTCGATCAATACCTGTATTTATATATATATATATATATAAAATTATGTTATGGAGTGAATTATGCTATAGAAACTACAACTTATACTAGAGAGGTCACAATAATAATTGTAAAAAGGAAATGTGATTCATCATATTATACCTCTCTAAATATTAGCCTGTACATACAAGACTGAATGTTCATTACAAGCATATCAATTTCTATTTTCTCTCTTATAAATTGGAAAGACTTAATGGGACACATAATTGAGCAAGTAATTTTTTTATTACCTTGAAGGTATGTTGAAATTCACATGTCACTTATTGGTACACTGATATTTACTGCTATTTTCATATATTTCTACTGCACATGTGGCTTAAAAGAAGATACTCTATCATGGTGTCTAATATTTTCTATTAATTTTTACAGAGATGTACTTTTATTGAAGATACACTTTAAAATAATATAAATACTTTTCCAACCCCTAAAGTTAATTTTCTTAAAAATATTGATATCTTTTAAATATAGATTATGTATGCACTGGATATACAGGCTTTTACAACAACCACAGTAGAATAAAGTTGACAAAATGATCAGTAATTTCAGGTCAAGTTTCCTTTCTCTCAAAAACGCAGACAAGAAAACATAATGACTGATCAAAATGTTCAGGAAACTGTGTGCTCAGTAACATGGGAGAGCTGAAGCATGTGTCATCTAGGCTGTAGGGTTGAGAACAAAATGGGAAGTGGAGATGCCTTCTGATTAATTACCGGTCTGTGGAAGCAGCCGCACTTCAGTTTGTTCAGGGCCTATGGGAGAAACAGCAAGCATAGCAGTAGAATATCCGTGACTGCAGTCTCAGTGCCTTCTATCTCCCTGATTGATGATTTATTCTCACTTTAGCACTGTTAGTACTAAAAAAAATTGTATTCCATCTAAGCTGTGGTGCTTCCCTAATGTGTAGGCAGTACAGGATCACAAGCCATCTGTTCCACCTCTTGTCCAACAGGGACTGGGTTACAGCTGCATTTTCTATAAAGGCAGAAGCTGTAGAGTCAGAATATGGAACACGAAAAAGATCTAAAATAATTGTATCATATTCTCATATGCATATTAAAATGAGACAAAGATCCATCTTCATTGTATGCTTTTTTCCTACCGAGTATTCCATGAAGTAAATTTTTAAAAATGTACTAACATTTTTAGTGCATTTATATTACTAGAAATTTATTTGGGTTATGAACTTCAAAATCCTTTTTTTTTTTTTTTAAATTACACTTGAAGTTCTGTGATGCATGTGCAAAACATGCAGGTTTGTTACATAGGTATATACGTGCCATGGTGGTTTGCTGCACCCATCAACCCATCATCTACATTAGTTATTTCTCCTAATGCTATCCCTCCTCTAGCTCCTTACCCCCACAGGCCCCAGTATGTGATGTTCCTCTCCCTGTGTCCATGTGTTCTCATTGTTCAACTCCCACTTATGAGTGAGAACATGTGGTGTTTGGTTGTATGTTCCTGTGTTAGTTTGCTGAGAACGATGGTTCCCAGCTTCATCCATGTCCCTGCAAAAGGACATGAACTCACCCCTTTTTTATGGCTGTATAGTATTCTATGGTATATATGTGCCACATTTTCTTTATTCTATCATTGAGGAACATTTAGATTGGTTTCAAGTCTTTGCTATTGTGAAGAGTGCTACAATAAACATATGTGTGCATATGTCTTTCTGGTAGAATGATTTATAATCCTTTGGGTATACACCCAGTAATGGATTCCTGGGTCAAATGGTATTTCTGGTTCTAGATTCTTGAGGAATCACCTTACACCTTGTAGAAAAATTAATTCAAGATGGCTTAAAGACTTAAACGTAAGACATAAAACCATAAAAACCTTAGAAGAAAACCTAGGCAATATCATTCAGGACATAGGCATGGGCAAAGACTTCATGAATAAAACACCAAAAACAATGCAGTAAAAGCTGAAATTGACAAATGAGATCTAATTAAACTAAAGAGCTTCTGCATAGCAAAAGAAACTATTACCAGAGTGAACAGGCAACCTACAGAATGGGAGAAAATTTTTGCCATCTATCCATCTGACAAAGGGCTGATATCTAGAATCTACAAAGAACTTAAACAAATTTACCAGAAAAAAGTAAACAACCCCATTAAAAAGTGGGTGAAGGATATAAACAGATACTTCTCAAAAGAAGATATTTATGCAGCCAACAAACATATGTAAAAAAGCACATCATCAGTGGTCATTAGAGAAGTGCAAATCAAAACCACAATGAGATACCATCTCATGCCAGTTAGAATGACAATCATTAAAAAGTCAGAAAACAGCAGATGCTGGAGAGGATGTGGAGAAATAGAAACACTTTTACACTGTTGGGAGTGGGAGTGTAAGTTAGTTCAATCAAAATTGGTGGGAGTGTAAGTTAGTTCAATCAAAATTCTTTTTCTATATGATTTCCATCCTTGAAAGTAGCACAAGAAAATAATTTTTTGAAAAGAGGAAAATATTTTATTACTAAAAATATTTTGTGATGCATATTACTTATCATTTTAATCTAAGAAACAAACAAAACTTTCAGAAATGGGAGGGAAATTGAGACAACTTATTGTTTTACGGGCTCGCCTAGGTTTAGTAAAAGATGAAGCGTCAATAGGAAGATCAATTCTAAACAATCTTTCTGGAATCGAAAACATATGGTACCAATGAACATATGGTTGAGAGCTCCTCACAGATCAGGAGGCGACTGAGGTTTGTGATGCTTTTCAGGTTTGTGGAGGTTCTGTGAAACTGTTATCCATTCTGTTGTCTGTAGTATGGATGGATAAATGCACAGGGATAAAAGGTTAAACCCAAAAGTGTGTCCTCTCATTCCTTATCTGACCCAAGGACACCTCACTCACAGTCTTTCTACTTTATTCTAATTTGCCTTTATGGACAATTCTAACTTAACTGTACAGATATTTTTTCTCACTCCTACACACCCCCTGTGACATAAAAACATAACTAAAAATTACAAAATATAAACTGCAAAGCTCAGCAATTACTATGTGCTTAAAATAATTCCCTTCTGTGCCATTATTTTAACTTGCTTAGAAAATTAACCTCACATTTATAAATGCATTCATAGTGAACTGATTCTTTATTTTCATAGCACTTTTTTCTTTATTCAAAAAAAAAAAAAAAACGGATACATGTGCAGAACATGTAGGGTTGTTATATAGGTATACATGTGCCATGATCATTTGCTATACCTATTCATCTGTCCTCTAAGTTCTCTCCCCTTACTCACACCCACCAACAGGTCCTGGTGTGTGATGTTCCCCTTCCTGTGTCCATCTGTTCTCAATGTTCAACTCCTACTTATGAGTCTGAACATGTGGTGTTTGGTTTTCAGTTCCTGTGTTACTTTGCTGAGGGTGATACCTTCCAGTTTCATCCATGTCCCTGCAAAGGACATGATCTCATTGCTTTTTATGGCTTCATACTATTCCACAGTGTATATGTACCACATTTTCTTAATTTGATCTATCATTGATGGGCATTTGGGTTGGTTCCATGTCTTTGCTATTGTAAATAGTGCTGCAAGAAATATACATGTGCACGAGTCTTATAGCAGAATGATTTACAGTTTTTTGTGTATCTGTCTCACAATGGGATTGCTGGGTCAAATGGTATTTCTGGTTCTAGATCCTTGAGTAATGGCCACCCTGTCTTTCACAATGGTTGAACTAATTTACATTCCCACCAACAGTGTAAAAGCATTCCTAATTCTCTCCAGCCTCTCCAGCATCTATTGCAATCAAACCAGAACTAAGAATTAAGAAACTCACTCAAAATCATGCAATTTCATGAATTGAACAATCTGCTCCTGAATGACTCCTGTGTAAATAATGATATTAAGGCAGAAATCAGGAAGTTATTTGAAACCAGTTAGAACAATGAGACAACATACCGGAATCTCTGGGACACAGCTAAAGCAATGTTAAGAGGAAAATTTATAGCACTAAATGTGCACATCAGAAAGCTAGAAAGATCTCAAATCAACACCCTAACATCACAATTAAAAGAGCTAGCGAGAAGAAAACTTAAGCAATACCGTTCAGGGAACAGGCATGTGCCAAGACTTCATGACAAAAATGCTAAAAGCAATTTTATAGCACTCATGTATAAAAGATAGGATTGCTACGATTACTGTGAACATGAGAAGAGATAACTCCAAAAAGCTGAAAATTATCTCTTCTATTCCTCTCTGTCACAGAAATGCCAGAAAACCTTTCGTCAACAGACATAAAATCATACTCAAAAAATGCAGTTCTGGTATTAAAATATTAATAGATGAATTAGATAAGATTCTTCCAAATTATCTTTGAGCTCTTCATGGAGATTTTTATGTCTATAGTTATATTTTACATTATAAAATAATATTAAGTAGATTTGAAAAAAAAAATCTACTTTTATTTTAGATTCAAAGGGCACATGAGCATGTTTGTTACATGGGTATTTTATATGATGCTGAGGTTTGGAGTGTGATCAAAACCATTACACATATAGTAAGCACAATAATCAGTAGGTAGTTTTTCAACCCTTCCTCACCTTTCTACTCCCCCCATCACTTGTAGTCTCATGTC